GTGGAAGTTGCAGGGCTGGGCGAAGACGCGGTAGCTTTTGGGAGACATCGATGTTGATTTTGATTACTTCTCGCGTTTTTCACATCGGCGATAATGCTGGAAATTGGCGGTGATCGAAGGCATCCTAGCGCTGTCACGCAAGATACTATTCCATCATCAGGTACTCCGTTATGACGCTTCGAAGGATCCAGATCTGAAACGTTAAAATACTCAGAAATTATTTACCTTTGAAATCATTAATCTAGAAATGTTTCATCAATTATTATTAGCAGCTACTAATTACTATTAATTATTTTACGGTAGATTACTATACTTTCCTATCTATAAACATATTTATTTGTTTAACACTTCAAAAAATGATATATTTTGCTACTTTAATATAGCGTAAAGGAACAGTATGAGTATGATTTTGTTATCATTATCGCATAATTAAAGCATATAATAAATCAGATAGCTTCAAAGAGCACTTGTTATTGTTAGAAGTACAAAGGAATTAAGATTGTATCAAATAATAGATTTCTTGTATACAATAAGGATTTATAATAGATTATTCATAAGATCCTAATGTAGAGTTACAGTATGTAGAACAGATCAGTCTATGCACTAACCAGATATTAAATTATTTGTAGCGGTTGAGTTATGGTTGAGGGTGTTTGCGCTAGCATGATTGACGTGCGGATGAACAATCACGGAAGCTGTCAATGTGTGACCCGCGGGATGACCGATTCCATGAGATACTGTGCCACCAGGCGGTAGGGTCCGCGGTGGAACTGCGGGCGCAGGCGAGGCGGGTCCGCCACCCTTTTCCGGGCTCTTCGATAGGGGTCCGGAGGTAGCACCCGTCGGCCCTGATGCGCCTGTCGGTTGGCTTACGTGCAGCCGGTTCCTCAGGGTCACCAGTTCCGTGCTGAGGCTCCGCAGGCGCTGCTGTAAGTGCACCGCTTCGTTCGATGAGGAAGCATCTTCAAGAATCAAATAGGAAACTTCTTTGAGATATGATGATACCGATACAATTGAACATAACAGTTTAGTATCCTATGATATATCAATGTTTCCCTCTTCTCTCTTTTCTCTCTTCCTAAAGTTGTCATTTGGACGCATATGAAATTAATGTGAAATTATAAAAATCAAAGTTATAATTAAAGGTAATATCAATATAATAAATAATAAAGCGCTCTACACTTTTTAAGTTTTTAAGTTAGTTCAGAAATTTTTGTAATTTTGAAAATGTAATTGTTGACATTTCTTTTAATGATTTATATTGAGTTAAAAATGTTAGAATGTTTAACGTGAAACGTGAATAGTCTTACTCATTTGCTTATTTACTCATAATATTTTTAATTATTCCTGTTATTTAATAAACTTGTTAAAAAGTATATTTGATAACTGTCGTAATAATTAAAAAGAGAGTAGTTTTCTAAGAATTACATAAAGTTATACGAAACAGAGATACATTCTCTATTTGCAGTACATTCATTCTGATTTTGTTTTAAAATTCTCGTTGTGTTTTCAACTTCACTGCTCATTATTTTTATCCGTCACGCGTGTGCGCGTTCTCTCAAGTTGTGCGCAGCTCTTCGGGTACCGTTAATCTAAGATACAATAGTGAATAAATCGAAATGGAGGAGGCTGCGCTCTCGATGAACTCCAAGATTTCTCTCCGTCACCTAAGGGAGGCCGAACGCTGCTGTTGCAGTCGATTGTATAGTCACGTACCATGCGGCTGACTAGTTATGGTCGTTGAATATTCGACCACGCTCAAGTATTATCCTGATGTATATTTTCAAAAATATTTTTACTTCTCGGAAGGGTAGATTCTTTTTAAAAAAGCCAAGCACACATTTTTGTATAAAAAGTTTTTGTATAAAATAAATAAATATCTTATAAATAAATAAATATCTTTTCTCTTTACAAAAATGAGTATCTATAATTATTTATGAAAAAAATTTGTTAATATTATTTCTAATTATGTATTATCATAAAGAACTTTAATTAAGGATTTATTTATAAAGTCATGGAATTATTTATTATCTATGAACGAATTCTATCAATCTCTACAGAGCTGATATAATTCACACATCTAGAATCTTAGTATTATATATAAATCTAATTTTACAGTATAACGTACATAAATGTACATTAAAAATGTAATTTTTAATTATGTATATTAAGTAGCCATGCTTTAATGATAATAATAATGATAAAAATTTATTTAATGTATTAACAAAATTATCAACGAAAAATAGATAATAATTTATCTATTTTTCATTGATAATTTAATCAAAAATCACATATCGATTGAATATTAATTCATTAAATTGACTCATTAAATTCATTTAATTGATATTATATTAAATTACAAATCATCTTTTTTAACAATTTATACTTTCAATTTTTATCGATAAATATGACAGACAAACAATTTATTTTCTAGTTTACCTTTTTTCTTAGAGAAAATTGAATTTTAATTTGATTAAAATTATTACTGATTAAAATTACTTTAAGTCTGATTGACAAAGTTGATCGAATAGAAATAAAAATAACTGATCATTTATCACAATTAAGTTTCTCAAATAAATCATAATAAATTTGTTTTTTCTTTGCATATATGTAAATAATATCTACAAACAACTCAACAAGTCATTCAATTAGATGAAATTGATTATCAACAATATGAAATCAACAATATTGCACTTTCATCTCAATGGCAATTTTTTACGATTCTGAGTGAATCGAAAGTGTTTTTTCGGAGTGTTCTTTTAGAATGCGTTCTCTTCCTTTTTTTTCGGATAGATACTAAGTTCTCTCGGATGACACACGATATCTGGTGCTCTGTTCACATCATGGAACTGGTCTCGTTGCTTCATACCTTCAACTTCCGGATACGAGATTAGTTACATAACCGGTTCTCTGGAACCGCGAAGTAAGTTGTTTAACGCGTGCGGCGCTTTATTTATGCTCTGTTCTTGCAAGAGAGTCGATTCAATGTGAGATCGTTTCAGCATCCAGAGCCTTTGTGGATTATGATAATGCTCACTGATGTTGAACCACGTGGAACAGCCAACATTGACTCAAAAGAAAGACATTATAGCTACAAGGATATATGCTATAATAGATTATAAAGATTATAATAAGCAAAATTAACAAACGTGATGCTATTTATATTGATAGCTAAAAAAAGTTTTCAATGTCGTGATTATTTTTAAAATTCTAGAAAAATTTATAAGAAAAGTATAGAAGAAATATAAACATAAAAGTCACAGAAGAAATTAAACGAAGATCTAGAAAATCTAATAAAATCTAATAAATATATTTTTATTGTAAAATTTTAAAGATTAAACAATTTCTTCCCTCCCACCCCCCTCTCTCTCTCTCTCTCTCTCTTGTTGTGTTATATATATATAATATATATATATATATATATATAAATAATAAGTAAGTAAGTAAAGTTAAACGTAAAAAACTAAACGAAACGTTAATTTAACTTCCGTACTTACCTTACCTAACCTACTACTACCGTACGTACGTACCTTACCTACCTACGAACGTAAATTAACTCGTCGTACAGTACTCGTGGACGTCTACGACTCTCTCGAGTAAAAACGTCGTTTTTTACTCTTCACTACACCTCTACTGTCGGTTCCTAAACTTTTACCGTTTTACAACCTTACTTACTTTTCGTTCGGGCGTCGGGTTCTCCTTTACCTTAGTATTATTAGTTCTCTTTACTTACTATTTCTTATTTAACTTTAAATCGTTCGTAGTACTCGTACGTAAGTCACTACGGTAGGGTATTAGGACTGTTACGTAGTACGTTACGTACGTACGTACGTACGTACGTACGTACGTACGTACTACGTACGTACGTACTACGTACGTACGTACTACGTAACGTACGTACGTACGTACTACGTACGTACTACAAATACCTACCTACCCTTACCGTTCGGTCGTCGTTCCGTACGTACGTACGTACTACGACACACACACACACACACACACACACACACACACACACACAACGAGGACAAACAAAATAAGAAAAGAAAAAAAAGAGAAAGAAGCAGAGTTTAATATTTATTTATAATATACATTCTAAAATTTTTAAATTTTAATATTCCTTTTTATAAATAATACAAAGTTATATTTTTGTTTGTAGAAATATATTTTCTATTTAAATTTTCATGGCTTTTTTATATTATAAAAGAGTATTAAGCATTATAGCGTTTAAACATATGTATGCAAAATTAAATTTAAAATATTAGTTAAAATTAAATAAATAAAATTATCAATAACAATAAATATCAATAAATCATTGTTATAGAAAGTCTAAGTTATAGATATCAAAATTTAAAAATCTGAAAATATGTAGTATACTTCAAAGTACAAGAAATAGCTGGCTTTAAAGAATCTGACAGGTAAGGAAATCTTGATGCAATAGAAGAAAAAGATAAGGAAAAGAGAAACGTAATATTATCCTAAGTGCACCGTTATGGTTTGGCACAGGTAAAGAGATAACGAAAGGGACGAATTAATCGTAGCAGGTATTCTGCATTCCTCTCTTGTACGCGCAGATTACCGAATTGCGGCGAAATTAATGGCGACGCTCGCACGTATGTCGAAACTTAATTCGTAATTAGGCGCGGGGGCTTATCTTAACGCGTGATCCATTTACAAATTTGGTCGACGATTATTTTTTCTAGAAAATTCGCAATAGTTTGTTTTCATTTTCACGATAAAACTTTAATCAAATTAAACACGAAAATACATTGCATTTTGCATCTCTTCTATATCCTCTTCAAATATAAAATTATTCCACATAAAATAAATTTCAGAATAAAATATGTGTAAACCTTTTCATAATATTTTTAAAATATAAATTAAATAAGAATTAATATAATTTTCGATAAGACAGTACAACAATTGCAAAGAGAAATTAATCTTTTGCATAAATTTAATCGTAGCTGGACTTAATAAAAATGCATCAAAATATGATTTCATGTCACAAATTGCATTCGCAAGTACTATAGAAAATAAACAAAGACTATTGGAGAATACAAATAATTTTTCAAAACCTAAATAACATTTCTACAGAATGAAATGTTATTATACTATAGAATATATAGGATATATAATATATAGGATAAATAAGCGACTGTCAGATCCAT